TGTCTTTTAAAAGACATGCGTGGAATTTTCAAAAAATATTTGAAAATAAACAGCGCACAATTATTTAAAACTTTGAATTGCTGGTAAAAGATTTAATAAATGTTTGATTAAAAAGGTTTATTTTAGAAAAATAAATATATTATTATAATTGTTATAATAATATATTTATTTTACCCTGCTTATTGTATAAATTTTTAACAGTAAGTATTGTATTTCTGAATAAATATTTTATAGCAGTGTTTATGTACAGTTCTTTTTAGATTAACCGTAAATACTGATCTTGATACTACTTAAATATGTTCAAGTTTTAATTTTATTGAACTTTGATAATACAAATATGATAATTAATGCTGAGATAATTACACAGACAATATTTTCATATTATTATCAGTGGTGGAGTGAAACATTTGTATTTGGGTAATTATTATTATAATTTTTCTTCTTTTAATCTCATTTTAAGCTTGAGAGTTGTGCAGGGTTGTGCAGGGTTGTGCAGGGTTGTGCAGGGTTGTGCAACTATTTTATATTGCTTTAACAGAATTTAACAGAACAAAATTTATTGCTAAGTTTAGATTTTTTAATAATAGTAAGAAGCAATATGTCGAATATTTTACAAACAAATATCAAGTTGGTTAGAACCTAATGCTCATGCAAATAACGCTGCCATGGCAACCCTTTGAATCTGATAGTTATTCACTCTGAGCAATATAGTATAATATTTTAAATCAAATTAACTGAGGAAAAAGAATTTCAATGAACTGTTCGCTTTGCTTATATTTTGACAAACAACGTAAGTATATTATTAATTTGAAACCGGAATGTTAATTTTTCAAACATCTTCACCAAGCATCTGCTAAGCATTAAGTGTTTAAAAAAATCAAATTGTAAAGTAAGTAAAATAAAATGTATTTTAAAATTTTCATTCATAGAAAGTCTTCAACAAAAACTCAAGTAAATGATCATATTGCAAATATTGAAAAGGTCTCTCCATCGGTAAATAAATGTATAGAGAATGCAAGCAATTGTTAAGCAGTTCTTTTTATATATTTATAGTATATACTATACCTGTAATCTTCTTGTATATTCACATTTTTAGTATTAATTTGTATATTTATTTAGTTATGTTTTAGTTAACATAATCTATTTAACCTTATAATTTAATGTTAAACTAATGAACTGAAAAAAAAAAATGCAATTGACATTATTTTGCAAACTAAAGTTTAACCTTTACATTTTTTTGTTAAAAAACCTGTTATACCTAGTTTTTATTTTCAGATTTTATTTTAAGCTACTTTTTATTTTAGTCTAAATAACCATAGCTAATAAAGGCTAGCAAATTCTCTTACTGCTTTTACAAAAATTGTTTTCAGCTTATTTTCTAGCACAATTATGACTATTAATTATTACTATTTAATAAGACTTTTAACTTTAAGATTTTAGTTATAATACAAATATTCAACTGTATGATTTTAATTATGACAATTGTATACAAACATTTAACTATATGAGATTAATGAGCTAGCGAGTAAAAAAACTTACATACAACAAATGTAGTTTGATGAGAGGATAAGAATATTAACTCTTTAAAGTTTAGGAAATATAAGAATATTAACTTTTCTAAATAAGTTTTATCCTGATTTTTTATAGATAAAATTTAATTTTTCTTCTTCTTATTTTTCATTGTATTTAGTTTTCATCATTATCTTGTTATTGTTAAAACTACTGAAATTTTTGTTTATTTTAGAATAATAAAAATGAATAAACAAGAAAAAAATCAATACTTGAGGGAATGGCGCCAAAGTAATTGAGCCTTAAACAATATACTTGTAAATGAAGAAATTGACTCACATCACATGTTAAATCTAATATTAATCGAGTCGAGAGTTGAATTGATTTTAAAAACATTGAAATTAAGAACTATAGTGACTTTTATTTTGTCTCTGATCATAAATATACTTGTAAAGTATATTTACATGTAAAGACTAATCACATGCTTGGCCTGGGCATCTACATTCGTAAGAACTCACCCATTTGTCGTGAAACTAGGTTTGAATCTACTGACTATTCTTTTATGTGCTTTCGTTTAGCCCCACTTTACTCTATCGTCTTTCTCTTTGTTCTATATCGCTCTCCTTCATCCCAAGATTGCACTATTCTCGATGTTATTTCTGATCAAAATGACCAAGCCCTCTCTCTTTATCCATCGGCCAATAACGTCGTTGTTGGTGACTTTAATGCCCATCACACTGATTGGCTTGGCTCTTGTGTCAGTGACTCTGCTGGCGTTAAGGCCCTCAACTTTTGCTTTTCTCAATCTCTAACTCAAATAGTCAACTTTCCAACTCGCTTTCCAGACAACCCTAATCATTTACCTTCTCTACTCGACTTATGTCTTGTTTTGGATCCTAGTCAGTGCTCAATTTCTCCACATTCACCCTTAGGTGCTTCTGATCACGGTTTGATCTCTCTAAAACTATTATCAAATTCTTCTACTTCATCAGAATCCCCCTATCATCGTACCACATACAACTACCTTAAAGCTGACTGGGACTCTTTCCGTGATTTTCTTCGTGATGGCCCTTGGGTAAAAATCTTTCGTCTTCCTGCTGACAAATGTGCTTCTTACATAACTTCGTGGATTCAGGCTGGAATGGAATCTTTTATTCCCTCTCGACAATTCCAGGTCACGCCTCACTCTTCTCCTTGGTTTTCCTCACATTGCGCTGCAGCAATTTCTAATCGAAACCGTTACTTCCATATCTATCAGCAAAACAATTCTCCAGAAAACAGACATCTGTTCACTATCGCCAGAAACCATTGTAAAAAGGTTTTGTCTGACGCCAAAGCTCGCTATTCTCAGGTCATAAAATCTCGTATCTCATCACAAAAATTAGGCTCTCGAGACTTCTGGAGAATCTTCAACACTATCAATAATAAGGGCAAATCTGTTATTCCTTCTCTCTTGTATGGTTCAGACTTTGTCACCTCACCTAAAGACAAAGCTGAATTGTTTGCTAAGAACTTTTCATCAATATCATCTCTCGATTCCACTAGTTGCGTTCTACCTGACATAGCCGTCAAACAGGTTGACCCCTTGCTTGACATTCGCATCACTTCAGCTTCTGTATCAAAAGTAATTTCCTGCTTAGACTCTTCAACAGCTTGTGGTCCTGACAATATTCCTGTTGTTGTCTTGCAGAAGTGTTCTCCGGAGCTTTCATCCATACTTTCAAAACTATTTAACAAGTGCTTATCAGAGTCCTGTTTTCCATCATGCTGGAAAGCAGCATCTGTTATCCCTATTTTCAAAAATTCCGGAGAGCGATCTGATTCATCTAACTACCGTCCCATTAGTCTTCTTCCTGTCATAAGCAAGGTTTTTGAATCTTTAATCAACAAACACTTAATCTCTCATCTTGAATCAAATAACTTACTTTCTGATCATCAATATGGATTTCGATCTTCTCGTTCTACAGCTGATTTGCTAACAGTAATAACCGATAGGTTTTACCGTGCATTAGATAGAGGTGGAGAGGCTAAAGCTATCGCACTTGAAATTTCTAAAGCATTTGATAAAGTTTGGCATGCTGGTCTTCTCCATAAGCTTTCTTCTTATGGTGTATCTGGTAACATCTTTAAGATTATTGAGTCCTTTCTTTCCAATCGTAGTATAAAAGTTGTCCTCGATGGACAACACTCTTCTTTATATCCTGTAACTTCAGGGGTTCCTTAAGGTTCAATCCTTGGCCCTATACTCTTTTTAATTTACATTAACGATCTCCCAGATATTCTCACATCTAAGGTGGCATTATTCGCTGACGACAATACCATTTACTCTTGTCATAATAAGAAGCCCACACTCTCTGATTGCCTGGAGGGGATATCTGAGCTTGAAAAGGATCTCACTTCTGCTACAGCATGGGGCTCACAGTGGCTGGTGAATTTTAATTCAGATAAAACTCAATTTTATTCGGCCAATCGTTATCGTAATAATTTAGATCTTCCTATATTTATGAATGGTAATGTACTGGATGAGTCATCTACCATTCATCTTTTAGGATTAACTCTTACTTCTGATCTTTCTTTTAAACTGTATATCAAATCCATTGCAAAATTAGCAACTGCTAAGGTTGCATCTCTTTATCGAGCTCGACACTTTCTTACTCCAGATTCTATTCTCTATCTCTATAAATCTCAAATCCGTCCCTGTATGGAATACTGTTGCCACATCTGGGGCGGATCTTCTAATGATGCCCTTTCTCTTTTAGACAAGGTGCAAAAACGCATTGTAAACATAGTTGGACCTGCTCTGGCAGCCAATCTCCAACCTTTGTCACATCGTCGTGATGTTGCTTCTCTTTCTCTTTTCTACAAATACTATAATGGGCACTGCTCTAAAGAGCTAGCGTCTCTTGTGCCATCTACTAAAATTCATTCTCGTGTTACTCGTCATTCAATTAAGTCTCATCCTTTTTCTGTGACTGTTCCTAAGTGCTTCAAAAACTCTTATTCTTCTAGTTATTTTCCTCGAACATCAGCTCTTTGGAATTCGCTTCCTTCATCTTGCTTCCCTGATTCATATAATTTGCAATCATTTAAGTCATCAGTCAATCGTTATCTTGCTCTACAGATTTAGTCTTTTCTCTTCCAGTAACTTCCAACTCTTATAGTGGTTGCTTGCAGCCTTGTTGGAAGTGAAGATGTTAAAAAAAAAAAAAAAAAAAAAAAAAAAAACTTCTGGAGCTGAGAGTTCTAATCTAGACTCTGAGGTTCCTGTGAGTTATGATAATGAAGATCTTCATAACGGAGTACTTGTTACAGAGATTGCCAAATGGATTTTAAAACACAGAATAACTAGAAATGCAAGTGACGAATTGTTAACCATTTACACCAGTATAGTTATAATGTTGATTTACCAAAATTTACAAGGAAAATTTTAAATACTCCTAGGAAGTTAAAATGTGGGGGTAAATAAATCAAATGACAAATCAAGAACTTTAGCAATCAACCAGCATTATAGATTTGAGTCAAATACAATTTCTTTAGTTGTCAATGTAGATGGCATTCCTTATTAAAGTCATTAAACACACAGGTTCGGCCTATATTATGTATGTTTGACAAAATGACACCATTTACTGTAGCATTATTTGTTAGCGATATCGAGCAAAATAATTGTGATGATTTTTAATATGATTTTTTGCACGAGTATGAGTTATTATTTGCAAATGGTTTTTTGTATTATATATATAGCTTCAATTAATTCTTGAGAAAAGGTGATGCTAATGTGTCAATAAAAAGTCAGAAAGTGTAAGCATAGCCATTTTCAAAAAGATAGAGTCCCTTGAGGAATTTTATGAGCTTGAAAGAAAGACAACAAGGAGAACAGTAAATTGGTAATTTATATTTATAATTTCTATTTTTAAAGTTTGTCTGTTTAATAGAATGCTATTTAAGTTCATCGTTTTCTTGATGAGCCTATTCAAATCATTCTTACATTTTACCACAATATGGTGTAAAAAGTAAATTCCTACCTATAAATCGAGAACTATCTTAGTGACCTGATAAGCATTTATATTCTGTAGAGTTTTTTACAGTCTTATACTTTTGTTAAACTATTTTGTCTTGCATTTGGTTTAGCAATTATTATTTTGTTGCTTTTATAGAATAACTTTAAAAAACAACCAAATAAATCTAATCCTGTTTTATTCCAACGTGAAATTTTCTCTAAACTTTTATTTATGTTTTAGCTTTGTCACCTCATAAAAGCAGGTGGAAAAATGTTAAAGAAAATACAAAAAATGTTATGGTCAGGTATGTATTTTTGTTTAACTCTGAATAATCAAACTGTTTAAATTGTGAGTAAATTTTATAGAAAAATCTAGCCCAAAAAAAGTAATTTAGAAAAACAAATAATTTTAATATTAATGTTTGGGGAGAACCTTAACGCTTATTGATTTGGACAAAATCAAATTTACATACAAGCATCTAAGGTTAGTTAAATATCCAAACTCCTGTGGAAAGAAATGTAAAACACAACAATTTAACAGACCAAACCATTATTCCTATCATGGTCTAAATATAATGGGCCAAACATAACGTTAGAAATGTTGCATTAATTGGGAACTAATAGCACATTTGGAATGGTGGAAACATTTTTTTTGTTTTGGTGCGAGAAAATAAGTTTAATTTATTTTTGAGCTTTTTGTAAATTTAACCATTAACTCTCACATAGTGTGAGAGTAAATGGTTATCAAATAATTTTCAATGTATAAATTAAGCAACTTTATCAACTTTTAAAAAGCATTTTACCAAAACTGCCCCATTCATTTAGGTTCTCCTCTACAGGTTTCACCTTTAATTCAATGTCGAAACTTTGAATTTAAAAGTTTATAAAAAAATAAAGAACCTTTCCAAATTATACTTTGTGAATTATTACTCTGTGTATTTACAATTATTCAAATAAGTTCGCTGGATCACTTAATGTAATATAACAAAGTAGTTATTTTCCATTTATTATTTGTTATTACGTTTTTATAGAATTATGGAGCATCATGTTAAGCCCAAGTTCAATAAGAAAAGCAAAATTCGTGGTGATATAAAAAAGGTATCATTCGAAAATAAAAAGTTGTGTAAAGCAATAATTTTGGTACGTTAATAACAGCTCAATATTGTTCTATCTATCCCTTCTTCCTTACATATGGTTTTATTCTTAGATATATATAAGTCTTGAACCTTGAATGTTAGCGTTGAAAATCAAACAAATAGTCTATTATAAACAAAATAAATGTTCAACTGTTATCCCGTTTACAGTATCCCATGTTGTATTTTAGAAGTCATCCAGCTAACGCACGAGAGTTCGACGGAAGCAAACAAAAGATCAAATAGGAAGCATTTTAAAGTTTTCTCCATTGAAGAATTATTTATTTTTGAGTTTTTTTGTAAATTTATAATACAAAAGAATAAAATTTATAATACAAAAGAATCTTTAAAAAACTCTTCAAAAACATTTACTGTATTTTTAGTTTGAATATCCCCAAAACTATTTTTCTAACCCTTTTTAAGGGGTTAAAAACCTTTATGTTAACTTTGAATATTGATTGTAATTGTGTTTAACATTTAAAGTTAATATATACGGTTATATTCATATAATAACCATGACACGAAGCCGCGTATAAAGGACTTCGGCTCAGGGTTATATGAATATAATTGTAGCTATATTAACATTAAATATTACACAATTACAATCAATATTTTACGTTAAAATAAAACGCCGATGTTTTTCAAACTTATATTTACATTAGTATAACGTTAATCTAACTTTAAAATTTTACGTTAATATAACGTTAATATAACTTAAATCAAACGTAAATCTAACGAAAGAATTTTACGTTACAAAACCTTTCCATTTTGCCGAACCGGTAACGTTATACTAACATAAAATCTAACGTAAATAAAACGTTAATACAACGTTGTGTGCCTGCTGGGTGTCTAGTAGTTCATCAATCTTATCTAGAGGTATCATCAATCTTATCTAAAGGTATCAAAAAAATATTTGACATAAAGGAGTTATCATAAAACAGAAACACGGTCAGTAATTTTTGACGACTTCAAAGACTTTTAGGTCAGAAACGTTGGCATTGCTAAATGCCGACTCTTATCCCTAGGGTTTTACATATAAATATATACATATATACATATACATATATATATATATATATATATATATATATATATATATATATATATATATATATATATATATATATATATATATATATATATATATATATATATAAATCGATTGATGTTAAATTTGTATTACAATAGTAATACAAAACTCTATTTCGGTTAAGAGTGCTCAATAATTAAGAAAGTAAACAACTTTCGGCGGACCTGTACTCGGCGCACCCCAAACTCGCACCCCAAACTACAATAAAAATTTAAAATTTTACAAATTATCAACATATCTACATTAAATATTATACATTAAATATTAGATTATATAGATCTTCTAAAGGTGTCTTCTTGAAGCTTATCTTTTTTGCATATCGTTTTGTGGTTTTTGCAATGCAAATGTTGTGTTGAGCATAAAAAAAAACATGTTTAATATAAATACTATGAAACATTTTTAATGTAAATATTATATTATAATACTTATTTTACATTACATAAGATACCTATCAATAATATGTTTTACGAATAAAAATAAATTTTCCTAAACATTTTTATTATAAAACTCATAATATTCTTTGTATACAGCTTCGTCTAGTCTAGGCTACTTTAAATCAACCTGTGATCTAAAAATAACTTTCATTTCATCCGATACCAAAACGACTCAACTTGATTTGTTGTCGCTCTAGTGTCAGGATCAACAAAGTTTATTCGTTTACACCTACTACCTCATACTTTTTCGTTTACACCTACTACCTCAGATACAGTGGTTACAGGAATCTTCAGAACCCATAAAAACATTAATTTAAGTATCAGACTTACACTTAAAGATGTAGAGCTTTCAAAAAATCCTGCTCGAATTGACTTCGTCTATGTATATACAGACCATTCAAATTTATTCATACAGTAGTTTAAAGACACAAGGGAAAATCTGTTCTGTGTATATAATAATAAAAATGTTAAGTAAATCATACTTGACAACGTTCATACTTTAGCACAACCATTATTTGACCACAAAGATTTTAAAGTAGCGTTTGTCTTTTTTGTTGCAAAAAAAATTTTTTTTTTGATACTTTCAATAAACTCAGCTAAAGGTGTCATGTTACTTATTTTGAAGGTGGTAAAGAAAGGGCTAAGGAAGCGCGAATTGAAAACTTTAATGTTAAATTTTTATTCGATAATATTAGCCAATCATAAAACGCCAAAGCTATTGTTTCAAACTTCACCGAGTTTGTTTACGAAATTTACCGAGTTTGGGGTGGGCCGTGTACAGGTCCGCCCAACTTTCTAACTAGAGCGGTATATATATATATATATATATATATATATATATATATATATATATATATATATATATATATATATATATATATATATATATATATATATATATATATATATATTTTTATTTACATATAGAAAAAACAACTTTTCATGGGACTAATAGTTTCATGCCTATACGGCAATCATCAGCCATGTACTATATCAAAAACAAACAAACCGTTAATAAAATTACAAAATACAGTGGAGCGACATCTGACGTCTCGATAGAGACAAAAAAAGAAAACGTCAAAGAAAATCTCATATACATCAGCTAATCGCCAGTATCATAAAACGAAAGAAGGAATTTATTTTTATGCCTACAATTTGAAACCAACTCGTTCCTTTTGTTCAACAGGTTTATATATATATATATATATATATATATATATATATATATATATATATATATATATATATATATATATATATATATATATATATATACATATATATACATATATATATATATATATATATATATATATATATATATATATATATATATATATACATACATACCACAGGTTATAGTTTTTTAAGTGATTTTAAGGCGCCTTTTAAATTAATGATAATTGAAGAAACAATTACAGTAAACATAATTTTAAAAATATCATATTATTTTGATTAAAAACCATATTATATTTTTAAAAACACATATATAAAAAAACATATTTTATTAATTATTAATAATAATTTAAAAAATTACATTTAAATAAATAAATTACATTTATTATGGGATTATTTTTTACAGATCTAAATAAAACTTTTATTAAGTTATTGAAACCTTTTATATATATATATATATATATATATATATATATATATATATATATATATATATATATATATATATATATATATATATATATATATATATATATATATATATATATATATATATATATATATATATATATATATATATATATATATATATATATATATATATATATATATATATATATATATATATATATTTATACATAAAACCCTCGGGATAAGGGTTCGGCATTTGGCAACGCCAACTATACTGCCGACCTGAGAGACTTTGAAGTTGACAAATAATTACTGACCTCGTTTCTGTTTTTTGATAACTCCTTTATGTCATATATTTTTTTTGTCAAACTAATGCCGACCTCTAAGAGTATTGACCTCGTTTCTCCTAATTCTGACATACTTACATACAAGAAAAGAATTTTTTTTTTTTTCTGTATTGTTTAAAGATATTGTGTCCTTTTTATAGATATTTATGTTTAAATTATTATTTACTTTTAGTTTAAAATTTTTTTTTTGAAAATTTAGAGCCAAAATTTCTGCTGAATAATAGAGTAATAAATATATTAATAAAAATGAATTTAAGATATAATAATTTTATAAAATTTTTTTTTTTATCTTTAGTAATAATGCCTATTATTATTATTGTTTAGCAAGTATCATGGTTATAAAATGTTCAGATTTAGCTAGTTTAATTAGGCCTGTTAGTACACTTATTTTATGGTTTTTTCATTTTATTATTAGTTCATGTAATATTTTCAAAATCAAATATGTGGAAAGGAGCTGTTTGGAATGAAAGTTTACAAGAAGAAGTAATTACATTTAATTGGATTAGTGATAAAACTGTTTGTTGGCTTTCAGGTACCAAAGCATTGACTGCACTAAAATGCAGAAAAAAATTGGCTTAAGTTTCTACAAATAAAAACTAAATTAACTAAACTCTAAAAACCTCTAAAGTCCTCTTTTTTTAAAAATCACCTCTAAAGTCCTCTATTATCCTCTAAAAAGGTAAAAATTTGATCAAAGCTATTTGAACTCCTCTTTTTTTAATTCTTAATGGAAGTATAATGTTCAAAATACCCATTCTCGGTCTGCAAAACTGGTTAACGCCTTAAAGTGCATAGAATTGGAAAAAATTGCTTTAGCAAATGCATGCTATTTAACATAAAAAATGACATTATTTAACCCCTATCCAAGCCCCATAAGTGTATAAACATGGACGTTAAACCAATAATAAATGGCCACATAAAATTTTCTTATAAAAATTTTATGTGGCCCGAAAATTAATTTTCAATGCTAGAAAGGATTATTAATTTATTTTGAAAAAAGGTTGTTTTTTTTAAATTAAATTTTTGAAAAAATTAATAATAACCAACTAACAGTTATATTTTCTTTTAAAAATTCAGAGTGTTTTTGAAAAATTATATGTCCTCCACGGATATAGAAGGCAAAAGTGGAAAAATATGTTTAAAGAACATCATAATCTATATGACGTTGAAAAAGATATACCTTCATAAGTTTTATTACTTTTCCATTCATATTTTTTTCAAATCTTCCCTTTTTTGATTTTTTTTAATATATTTTTTTTATTTACAGCTTCTTCTATTATATTAAATGGAACAAAAGAAACCACGGTTAAAGGAACCATGTTTGACTTTCAAAATTACGCTCTATTTCAAAAAGGTGGTGGAAAAGAGAAGAAGTTTGTGTAGATTTTATTCAATTATCAATGAAGATTTTTTAATTATCAATGAAGATTTTAGTGAGAGAACAATCAACATTCGCAAACAACTATTCATTAAAGCCAAAGAAATACGTTCATCAGGTAATTTTGCCAAAGTTGTTTATAATAAATTAATCACCGAGTCTTTCGAAAAGACTATCTGATTATCAAAAAAACAAAAACAAAAAAAAAAAGGTTTTATATATATATATATATATATATATATATATATATATATATATATATATATATATATATATATATATATATATATATATATATATATATATATATATATATATATATATATATATATATATATGTAATATGTTCACATGTGTGCGTACATATATACCAGTGTATATAAAAACCTTCAAATATTTTCAAAATAACAAAAACATACAAAATGGATTCAATTTATCA